ACATAGAGTTTATTATATTTAATTTCTAGATGTCTAATTTGATATTAATTCAAATCTTAAGAAAAATTGACGATAGATATTAATAATAAATGAATACATAAACATCAAACGACATCTTTTCTTTTAATATCTTTAACAATCATAATGCTGCTATCTATTTTAAAAGGGTTATATTCGCTATTCATTACACATATTGATACTCATTATAACAAATCAAAATTCTATTTAAAGTGAATTTATCTAACCTTCTTCATTTCTGTATTCTGAATTACTACATCTGAGGTTTGTTATTGCAATATCTCTATTGAACTCTCTATCATTTTTTGTTGGGTAACTTTTGATTTTCCTTCAATTTTATAATATTTACAAATATCTTTTAATCATTTTATAATTATTCTTTCGTTTAATAAAATTCATTTTATGATTTTCCTTCTACTATTTTTAAATATTCCATTTTCAAGAGGATCAACCAATGAAAGATAATAGAAGTCTCTAAATTCAGAAAATCATTTACTGGTTACTTATGGCTTAAGTTTCATAAACATTTACGATCTTGCTCTAGAATCTTGAATCTACTATTATAGTATCGTCTATCTAAATATAAAAATGTATTCAGTTTGTTCTTTAGTCAGAGCTAGAAGCTCTAGCTTTTTCAATTAAACCGTATTTAATTCTCAATATAACTTGATCTTCACCTATTTTAGACTTTTTTCGATAGATATTCAATCTATCTATTTGTCTCAAAAAAGGGTGTCCTCTAATTTTTAAAGTTTTTAAAATTGTATAATCATATATAATTATGCTAATAGACTTCAAATGGATTGCCTTAATATTGATTTCGATTACATTGAAATTATATTGTGTTTTACTATTGGTTATCTCTTAATTTCAATCCATGAACCGTTTCAAATGAAGTTTTTGAATCTATATCTAATAAAAATTACAAAAAGTATTCATATTTCAATTCAAAGTATTATGACATCAATTATGATGTAAAATAATATTATATTAAACCTTAAATCAATTATTAAAATATATTTATTTTATTCACTTTAACTGAATACTTTTATTTGATACCTAATTCAGTTGAATCCGTTATATATATGACAAGATTTAAGATAATAAAAATTATAATTGACAAAAAAAGGAAGGCTTAAAGTAGTAGTTTTTATGGGAAAATTAATAAATTTCGTGGTTCATTAGCTCATATTTTGAATAATACTTATATTAATGTATTTGTACATTTTATTCAGCCATTTCTTGTTCATAAAGAGGAACTCAAGAAAATAAAAGAGGTGATGACTATTTGTGTGGAGGGGAATAAATCAAAAAAGAAAAAAGAAGCTTAAATTCAATTGAATTACTGATTGTTTTTTTCCTCATTGATTATCATAAATGAATTTAAACACTTAAAATATCTAGTGTTTGAATAGATTTCAATAACATCTAATTTGCAAATCATCTTGAAGTCCCAACATCTTTTAGCTCCTGCTGCAATTTCATGATACAATTATCTTTTTCTAAATAAATCAAATGTTTTTTATAAATTTAATAGAATATTCAAAAAAACATTTTTCTTCGATAATTGATATCTGAATCATAGTATTATTCAAACTTTTTAATGATCAATTTTAACAAAAATATTGAAATTCTTTTTTCTATTCTTCCAAAATGAATTAACTATAAACTATTTTTTTCCTCTGGCTATCCATATTTAATTAATCCTTAAATATATATTATAAGTAATCTAGACAAAAACAGAAGCATGAGTTCTTCCTTGATAATAGATCCTAAAACTCTTGGGTATTTAACCAAAATTATTAATTGCTTTAATGGAATTCTCCTATATTTTAATCGCACTATCAAAATTTTACTGATTATTTATCCATCTATCACTCTCATTGTATTCCAATAATAAAACTTTCTAAATCTATTTCCTGGTACATAGAATGTTCAATGGCTTTCTCAAACTCTTTACACAATTCTAGCCATACCCTATTACTTTCTATTCTTAAACCTTTATA